CCCCCCCCGCTTCAGACCGGCCCTGTACTGCAGCCACCCCCAGCACTGGGCACTTCTGATCACAGTGCCTTGTATCCCCAAGGCCACGGTGGCAGGATTCTCACATGCTTACAGGGGCTTGCCCAAGGTTTACCTCCATGGCCCACGACTTACAGGGAGTCCAACAACTAAAGGGTATAGATAGGAAACGCTTTCTGGCCGAATTAGTGCAAGCCTCCTGTTACTCTGTCCACCATCATAGACTGTGTCCCAGGATGTGGGCTGTCAGCAGCATCTAGTCCATGCCCCCCAGCCGTGGGGAAGCCAGCAGTGGCCACCCAGGCAGCTCTGGCCTGCCTCATTACACACCCTGATCATGGCCTTGTGTGGATCAGGCCATGCATAGGGCCCAGCATGCTTAGGAGGCCCACACAGCCTCCAGGGAAAGGAGTTCCAGGGCCAGGTAAGCATGGGGTGCCCTACAAACACAGGACTGCCGCCGGTCATCCCTGCAGGGTCCCGGCCCTACGGCACGAGGATTGGCACAGGTATGACGACTGGCCAAGAGGCCTCAGGGACCTTCTGCACGTTTCCCTATTCTGACAATGAGGGCTCTGCGCCTGTTCCCCTGAACCCTTCAGTTCGGTTTTTAAAAGTGCATTGCCAAAGATCTCCAACCTTTGTTTTCTATTCTGAAAGTAACCCTCTTGTCTTTCTCTTTTTTGAAGATAAAAACATTCCCGGTTGATCCAGTGACCCCATTTCCTGATGCTTTCAATTCAGGGCCACAGTTCACCGTAAGTAGATTCAGAAAACAGGTCTGTGTTTTAAAATGTTGTTCCCACGGGGCGCCTGGGTGGCTCAGTCATTAGGCATCTGCCTTCGGCTCAGGTCATGATCCCAGGGTCCTGGGATCGAGTCCTGCATCGGGCTCCCTGCTCAGCAGAGAGCCTGCTTCTCCCTCTCCCTCCTCTCTCCCACACCCGCTTATGTGTGCGCTCTCTCTCTCAAATAAATAAAGAAACTCTTTTGAAAAAGATTTACTTATTTTGAGAGACAGAGCTAGAGGTGGGGGGAGAGGCAGAATCTCAAGCAGACTCTCCCCTGAACTTGGTGCCCGACACAGAGCTCGACCCCAGGACCCTGAGATCATGACCTAAGTCGACATCAGGAGTCAGACGCTCATCTGACTGAGCCACGCCGGTGCCTCAGCAGCTTTTTTTAATCATATGAATTGTGTGAGGTTGGGAAGGAGTTAGGGTTTGGGGCCTGCATCTTTTTGTGACTTTATTTTATTGAGGTGAGCATCACGAGAGATAAAATGAATCGTTCTAAAGTGACAGTACATTTAGAGTCATGCAACTACTATCTGTAGTTCCAAAACATTTTTTTTTAAGATTTTATTTATTTATTTGAGAGAGAGAATGAGAGAGAGCATGAGAGGGAAGAGGGTCAGAGGGAGAAGCAGACTCCCCGCTGAGCAGGCAGCCCGATGCGGGACTTGATCCCGGGACTCCAGGATCATGACCTGAGCCGAAGGCAGTCGCTTAACCAACTGAGCCACCCAGGCGCCCTGTGGTTCCAAAACATTTTTATCACCCACAAAGGAAACCTCGTTCCCATTAGGCAGTCACTCCTTATCCCCCCCGCACCCCGATCCAGCCCCTGGCACCCACAAATCTGCCTTCTGTCTCTGTGGATTTCCCTAGTGTGGATATTTCAGATAAGTGGAATCATAGAATATATGACCTTTTGTGCCTGGCTTCTTTCACTGCGTATCATGTTTTTGAGGCTCATGCACATGGTAGGATATATCAGTACTTCATTCTTTTTATGTGGAATAATATTGAATTGCATATGTATACCCCAGTTTGTTGATTCGTTCGTTCACTGGTGGGTCTTTGGGTGGGCCTTTGGCTGTTGATTCGTTCATTCACTGGTGGGTCTTTGGGTGGGTCTTTGGCTATTGTGAATAATGCTGCCGTGAACGTGTGTGTACATGTATTTGTTTGAGTTCCTGTCTCCAATTCTTTGGGGTTGGATGTATAGCTTGATGATGGTGTGATCTTAGGTAGTCACTTCGCCAGTCCTGGCACCAGTCTCCTTTTATTTGAGTGGAAATAGTAACATGAATATCCTCCTTGTATCCGGTTAAGGCAAGGATCAAAAGGGATCAAGAAGTTGGCAGAACTTGGGGCGCCTGGGTGGCTCAGTCGTTAAGCGTCTGCCTTCGGCTCAGGTCACGATCCCAGGGTCCTGGGATCGAGCCCCACATCGGGCTCCCTGCTCGGCGGGAGGCCTGCTTCTCCCTCTCCCACTCCCCCTGCTTGCCGCTCTTGGCTCTTGGCTCTGACTGATCTGTGTCTCTCTCTGTCAAATAAATAAATAAAAATCTTTAAAAAAAAAAAAGTTGGCAAAACTTGACCAACCACAGAATGTCCCAGAAGTGTCAAGTATGGTGGTTTTTTCTCAAGGCTAGAGAGGCAGGGGGGTGTAATTAATGAGAGCAGGGAGTCATGACAACTCGCTTCATGTCCCCACCTCCCTTTGTGTACCGGGCAGCCGACTGAAGCTCTGCAAAATGTCTAAATATTAAACATTTAAATGCTGTAGTTTCCTCATCTGCAAAATGGGCGAGTTCGATGATGTTCAGGCTTCTTGCAGCTGCAAGTCTTTCCTTTCAATGAAGGCTTCTGCATAACTCACTGTTTGAGTGGCTGCAGGGAGCAGAAATGTGGAGTCTGGGGTCACCTCCTCTTTCCCCTCACTCTCTCCTCCTCCTAGGGATCAGAGTTTGTAATTCCTAGAACTGAGTGATCCCCGAGGCTCCTTCCAGAGGCTTCCTGACCAGTCTGGAGGATCTGTGAGGTGGGCTGTGGGGGGCCTAGGGGTAACCAAAAGTGCGATCTTGTGAGCTGGATGATGGTCACTACCTGAGGCGGCTTTAGCAGCACGGACAGAGAGGGAGCGAGCAGTGGCTGGTGCAGCTTTCAGAGGTTGAACAGAAGTAGGAAGGTGTCCCACCAGCAGTCCAGGCAGAGGCACAAAGCAGGTTCCCAGGATAATGCATTTCTAAGGTCATGAGCTGCTTCTAGCACCTGCCTTGGAAGAGACCCAGAAGGCAGAGACACAGGGGCTGGGCCAGGCTGTTAAATGCTACTCCGCTGCATTCATCCTGCCCCTGCAGTTTCCCTCGGCACGGCTCCCCAGCTGGAAGCTCTGGTTCCACTTCCCTCAGCTAGCCCGTGGCAGGCCCTCTGGCCTCCTGCCCAGCCTTGGCTGTGCTGTGAGACACCCAGGGAAGCCCTTCCTGAAAAGCTGGGGGCCAAGATGGAGCAGGAAGCCAATGTCAGAAACCACACTGGGACCTTTAAGAACTGGGCAAGAGTGGCTCGAGGGCAGCAATTTCACCAAGTTTCAAGATAATACAGACCTGGGGACCATACTTCGGGAAGCACTGAGATAGTGGTGAAAAACGCCAAGTACGGGGTCAGCTAATCCTGGTCCTAAATACTGGTTCTTAACACCTACTGTGTGACCTTGGCAAAATTACTTAACCTCTCTGAGCCCTACTTTTTTTTTTTCATAAAATCAGCTCTAAGATACGCATTTTTTTTCACCTTTCCAATCTCTGAAATCAGGGGCGTCTGGGTGGCTCAGTCGGTTAAGCATCTGCCTTCGGCTCAGGTCATGATCCCAGGGTCCTGGGATCGAGCCGAACATCAGGCTCCTTGCTCAGTGGGGAGCCTGCTTCTCTCTCTCCCTCTGCCTACCACTTTGCCTACTTGTGCTCACTCTCTCTCTCTGTCAAATAAATAAATAAAATCTTTTTAAAAAATTAAAAAAATAATAAATCTCTGCAATCAGAACATTCATTACATGAATGGCTGTGACAAAGTTTGAACGGCCACATTTTTCTTTCTCTGTGGCACATGCAAAAACGGTGGATCTTACAATGGATGGTGTGGAACATGATGAAATATGACCTCTACCTTAAGGATTGTCAAGAGGTAATATATGTAAAGTGCTTAGCATAGTGCCTGGCACAAAATAAAATCATTTAATAAGTGGTAATTGATTTTAGCTATTATTAAAAAATAACAGGAACTGTATGGTAAGGCTTAAGGAGTCCCTGATAGTGTGAAAATGGAACCCAAATTGAGATTGATTTCCTCTTTTCTGTTTCCTCTCCAGGCGGACTTTAGAGACAGTAAATTGCCGTGCTGTCCTGGCCAGTCTTCCCCACTGATTCCAGCAGTGACCCTGAGGCCTTTGACAGAGACCATCTCCACAGTGCAGACCATCTACACCACTCGGAAACCTGTTTCTCTGGCAGCCAGGTGAGTGAGGTCAACAGGTCCTGGCAGAGAACTCCGGTGACAGGGAAAACTGGCACAGGCTCCGGTTTCATTGTGTCTGTGAACATCTATATGCCTCTTATTTATTCTTTCATTCATTTATTCTGTACATATTTAGTGAAGTGTCTACAAAGCCTGGAGAGTATTCTAGGCCCTAGGGATGTACAGTAAATAAAACAGAAATCCTGCCTTTATGGAGTTTACAATTTAGTGTTGGGGGAGAGGAGACAGACATTAAATAAATGTGTGTATGTGTTTGTGTGTGTGAGAGAGAAGGGAGAGAGAATGAGGGAGAGAAAGAGAGAGTTGGTGACAAGCTAGGGAGCAAAATGAAACCAAGAAGGGCATAGGGCATGCTGGGATGGCCTCATTGAGGTGGCTTGTAAGCAGAGACCTGAGGTGGGGAGGGAGCAGGCTGCAGGTATTTGGGGAAAGAGTATACTCAGGAACAGCCAGTGCTAAGACCTCTGAGATGGAGCATGCTGGGAATGGTTAAGGAGGAGTAAGAGGGCTAGTGTAGCCAGAGTGGGATGGATGACAGGGCAAGAGCCCCATGAAGTTGGAGGTTGGGGCCAGATTTTACTTATTGGTCACAGTAGAAACTGATTTCTACCCTGTATGAGATTATTTAAAAACTTGGATTGTGCTTTAGATGTATACTTCTTTGTGTGTGTGTGTGTGTGCGCACGCACGTGTGCACACGTGTGTGCATGTGAGTGCATGCACATGCATGTACATAAACAATGGAGACAGATCCCATAGTTAGGCAACGGGGCCTGAGGGCCAAGAAGTCAGAGGCAACCCCTCAAAGCAGCCGATTTTATTTCATGCAATTTGTTTATTAAAATGTGGGGGAGGAGCTCCTGGGTGGCTCAGTAGGTTAAGCCGTTAAGCGTCTGCCTTTGGCTCAGGTCGTGATCCAGGGTCCTGGGATTGAGCCCTGCATTGGGCTCCCTGCTCAGGTGGGAGTCTGCTTCTCCCTCTCCCTCTGCTGCCCCCTGCCCCCTGCTTGTGCTCTCTCTCTCAAATAAATAAGTAAAATCTTTTTAAAAAATAAAACAAGGGTGCCTGGGTGGCTCAGTTGGTTAAGCGGCTGCCTTGGGCTCGGGTCATGATCCTGGAGTCCCGGGATCGAGTCCCGCATCGGGCTCCCTGGTCAGCAGGGAGTCTGCTTCTCCCTCTGACCTTCCTCCCTCTCATGCTCTCTCTCTACCATTCTCTCTCTCTCTCAAGAAATAAATAAAAAAAAATCTTAAAAAAATAAAAATAAAAATAAAAAATAAAACAAAATATGGGGAAGAGAGGACTCTGGGAGAAAGTGCATTTGAAACCAATTTAAAGCATGATTGAAAGAAATCTAACCCCTGGACATCTTCCTGCTCATTCAGAAGATCTTTACTGAGACACAGCTATGTACCAGTCCCTATGCTTGGCTCTGGGGCTTCAGAGATGAATGACATACATGGTCAGTCCTCTGGGGAGCAGTGCCCTGAGGAACTCTCAGTCTGGTGGGGGGACCCAGTAGGTAGCCAGACAATTTCAGGTCATTGTAACGCTAGCAAATGTCGGGGGTCCTTAAGGAGCCTGAAAGGGAAAGTCGAGAACCAAGGTCAGAAAAGAAGACCTGGGGTGGGGGGTGGGGGGAATGACACCATTCCTGTCATTTTTTTAGTGGAATCTCATTATTTTGTCACTTACTTTTCTTCAGTGCAGAGACGCTCCGGCAGGAACTGGAGAGAGAGAAAATGATGAAAAGACTGTTGATGACCGAACTGTGAAATTCTCCCCTTGTTGCCTGGAGGACGGCATGGTGCCTTCTGTCCGTTTTCTTTCTTCGGGCTTTGTGTGCTCACTCCAGCACAACACACAGATGCGTGCTCTGTTCACCCAGGTCTCCATGGTTGGTTGAAGCCAACTTCTGGCTTGACTTTTATGGGAGAAGTTATTTTCTGTCTCCTGAGTATTAGAATTTTTCTGCTACTCAGTATAGTTGGGATGGGATTTGGGAAGCCTAGGAGAAGAAAGATGGGGAAATGGGATTCCCTTTTTAGTACTACCTGTGTGTCTATATTAATAACCACAGGGGTTAATATGGCACGGAATCCTTTGCTATCAGTCTCAACCATGATTTTGTATGATTGAAACTTGCACCAAGCTTCGACTGTTTGTTAAAGAGTCATTTTTAATGAGAGAATAATTCTTTACTGCTGGTTTTTTCATTGACACTGGTAATTATACAGATCTTATAAAGTCCTTAACACTTATTTTTATTCAGACATGAATCGATGAAGTAACACAAGAAAGTTGCGATCACCAGGATTACTAAGTACTTCGGAGAAATCTGAAATACAATTTAAATTGTGGATTCATTGGATATGATATTATTTGGGATAAACAGAATTTTTCACTGAACCCAAAGTAGGAAATTATAGCTTAAATTGTCTAAAAATCCTTACAAGGATAAAATGATTCAATATCAAGATTCATTTGGGTGTTCCATAAAGGAAAATTATTTCTAAAGTTGGTTAATTCTTGTCCTGTTGATAGAACCTTGACCAGATGACACTTTGTTCTCTTTTTATATAGTTTCAAGAAATGTGTTTTTAAATTTTTATTATGCACTTAAACAACTTTGCAGGAATAAAGGCACGCCCTCAGCGCAGACTAGCCCCCTGAACTGTTACCCGAGCTCTCAGTGAATATGCACACATTTTTTCATAGCTGTGACCAGTGTGTACACACTCTTCGGTTGTACTTCTCCACCTCACACATATCTTCCCTTTCCAGCACAGATCCTGCCCTCACCAATTTAAATGTCTGTATATCCATGTAACATGGTTAACCTCACTTCTCCCTATTATTAGGTATTTGAGTTATATCCAATTTTTCACTCTTATAAATAGTGCTGCTATGAATGTCTTTGTAAAAAAAGTTCTCCTTCCTTTGGATTCTTCCCTTGGGAATATCTCCAAAGAGGGATTACAAGGTCAAAGAGCATGAAATATTTTATAGCTCTTGTTTCATATTGCCAGATTGCTTTCTAGAAAGATCCAGTCTCTGGGTTGGAAGGACCTTACAGGTTATTAGTTCAATTCCCCTATTCCCTCTGAATGCTTGAATCCCTCTACAATTTATGATGCCACCAGCAATGTATAAGCATTTCTACTTACCAGTAGTTCTGCCAGTATTGGGTTTTGCCATTTTAATTTATTTTTGCTAGTTTAGTAGGTGTGTATAGTTGTTCTTGAAAGGTTGTTTTATTTCATTAATTGCTAGCAAGGCTGAGCACTTTTCCATGTGATGATTTACTAGCTGTATTTCCTTGTACGTAGAATGTCCATCCATTTCTTATGACCACTTGTTAAGTGGAATTGATCTCGTATATTTGTATCAGAACTGTATTTTTATGTTGTATTGTATAGTTTGCTCTCCTGTCCCTATCCTTAAAACTGAATGGTGCCAATAATTTGATACTAATGATTATAAAAAAAAAAATGTAATGCCTCTCATTTACTAGCATTGTTGTAAAATGAGGTATGTAAGCAAATATTCAGATAACGGAGGATTAACCCTTTAAGTGCTGAATCTTTAAAATTTTAATATTTTTTTGAGGGAAATCTTTCTAAAATGCGTTACGCACTTCCCTGCCTTAGTAAACAGTATACCGGAGAGTATTTAACCTTTTCTTGATGAGTCATGGTCATCATTAAAAACATCAGCCCCTTTTGTACCTTAGTGTGGTGCGGTGATGTCATCAGGAGCTATCAAAATACATAGGGCTTGGCTTTGCCTTTCACAGACTATTGTGCTGTTCTCACCGATGAATTTTACTGCTTTCTGCTCTATTGGTGAAGCCATCTGGGGCACTTGTGGCGTTTGGGACTTTTTACTCCCATACTATATGGCCCCTGGCTATACTTTTAAAATAGTTTTACCTGTTCTTTATCTCGTGCACACGATCCAAAATGTGTTCCTGTACAAGATGGGGGAGCTATCTGTGTCTGGGGTTGTAACCTCTTGCCAATCCAGCACCCTCCTCCTGACCTGCTTTCTGAGTCTTCTGCTCTTCACCTCCTGCTCTCTGATGGAAACCTCCGGGGCAGAACGGAAGTTTTCTTGGAGAAGCCAGGGAACCAAGTATGACCTATGTGTCAGGTGTGCTTTGCTTCTGAGGAGGGGTGCATGGGCTTTTGGGACGTGTTTTCAGGAGGATCCGAGCCTCCTGCTTTTTTCCCCACACCCCCCTGGGTTCAGAGATGTTCAGAAGTTGATGTCGCTGGAAGTCTGATCCCAACAAGTTGGCTGTTACTGTATATGAAAACCCAGTACCTTTGGCAGCTCAGCTCTAACCAGTAAAATCAAGAGGATTCCATTGTTTCAGCAGTTGTCCTGGTTATTTGCCTACTTAAATGTATGACGGGTGCCCGACATGGTGAGCTGAGGACATGACTTCGTGTTGGGTGGATTCAGAGGGACGAAAATAAATCGATAGAATTGGTTTACCTTTTTTATATACTTAACACAGAACAACAGCACCGTACGGTCACACAACACATACCTTATGTCTGGGGCAGAGTTGGGGGGGTCCGCTTATTGACATAATTGTGCCAGAACAAGGGCTCCGAACTGTGGACCACAGACTCCTGGTGGGCATGAGGGGGGTATTACAGGGGGCCTGGGAGTCCCACAATTCACAGAGTTTGTGGATCGCAGACTGCCCAGAAGATCCTTATGTTTGAAGAATTTAGAAACTAGATCCTAGAGCATTCAGAAGATCCCATCTGAATGCACCCCAAATTTTGTATTCCCAAGATATCACAGGAATATTCAGAGATCTTTATCTTTCTTTCACCACCTCAGTTTTTTTCAAAACTTGAAATTCACCATTTCAACCGTTTTAAAGTGTGCAGTTTGGTGGGGTTTTTTTGTATGTTCCCACTGGTATGCAAACATCACCACTCTCTAATTCCAGAACATCTCCATCGTTACAAAAAGAAACTCCCTATCTACAGTCACTACAACTTCTCCCCTCTCCCTACCTCCTAGCAACCACTGATTTACTTTCTGTCTCTGGATTTCTGTCTATGGATTTGCCTATTCTGGACATTTCATATAAATGGAATCATACAATATGTGGTCCATGGTGACTGGCTTATTTCACTTACCACAATGTTTTCAAGGCTCCTCCATGTTGTAGCATGTATGAATACTTCATTCCTTTAATGGGTGAATAATACACACCAATGTATGGCTATACTACATTTTGTTTATCTGTTCATCAGTTGATAGACATTTGGGTTACTTTCACTTTTTGGCTATTATGAATAATATAAATATTCATGTACAAGTTTCTGTATGAACATGTTTTCAACTCTCTTGGGTATATAACAGATTGGAATATAGCGGGGTCATATGGCAACCAAAAGTAAAAAAAAAAAAGAAAGAAATCACATATACCAGGCAGTCAGAAGAATGGGTATGTCTGTTACGGGTTAGATACTGTAATATAGCACTGATTTGGGGGAGTTTTTATAACAGAAAAGTTATCTTAGAAAAATGGTTTTGATGAGAAGAGAAAATAAAAGTGCTGTCTTTCTTTAAAAAATGAAAATGAAATTAAACTCAGGTGGATCTCCAAGTTCTTGTTCGAATAGCCGGCTCTTGTTCAGCCAGCGGTCTCTGAATGTTCAGGAAAATTGCTTCCCCAGAAAATGTGCACTACGGAGAAAACCACAGTATTGATTGGCTGCTCAGTGAATTCACATCACTGCGGAGCAGAGCGTCTCTGCAAAACCTGGGATATAACAGAGGGGAATATGTGCTGAGAGTGGGAACAGGTCTCCCTCCAGGGCTCAACTCTTAAAGAAAACAAAAAGAGAGGCACCTGGCTGGCTTAGTTGGTGGAGCATGCGACTCTTGATCTTGGGATTGTGAGTTCAAGCCCCATGTTGGATGTAGAGATTACTTTAAAAAAAAAATCTAAAAAGAAAAAAAACACAAGATAAAATCCCAAAAGGTAATTTAAGTGAATGTGAGAGAACCTCGTGAAAGGAAGAGCCAAGTCAGCAGGGACTTGAGAAGCGGAGTAGTTTCCAAGGCCCTCATGAGGCATGCAGACTGAGTTGAGTGACTGATGACAGCTATGGGTATTCTCCCTAGGAAAAAACCCATTCATCACATGTTCCAGCACTTTAATAAGGTCCTCACACCACCCCTGAAGCCCATCTATGGTCCCCTTTGAGTCCATGAACCCCAGGTTCTGAATAGTTGAAATCTACAGGTTACCTGCAAGCCTCATTTTAGGCTGTGGTTGCAAACCCACCTCCAACACCAGCCCCCAACATCCCTTACAAAAAAAAAAAAAGCCCACATGGTTTTATCAGGCCAATTTACTGCAAGAATGATCTGGTTTCCACTGGCCTTCTATCTGGCACCATCACTGTTAATTGTCGTAATTAAAATGAAGGGAATAAAAAACTGAAAGATAACAGCTTAGATTCTAAAACCAGAGACTCCGTATTGAAATCAGAAGCCTAATGCTTGCTTTATTGATTGATTTTTGCTAAATGTTGGTCCATTTATAACTTACCATATCTTTCCTGGTGAAAACAAAGGAATGGCAATTTTTAAGAATGAGTTTTTCTTTTTTTCTTTTTAAAGAATTACATGTTAGATTTTTTGATTGGCTTTTTTATATTTTAAAATGTTACGCATTGCAAAGCTATTTTTGGGGGGAAGAAATCTCTGTTTTGATTTTCTTCAGTAATTACAGTTCATCTTTTTTCAAACAATAAATTGGGTCTACTTCTTGTAAGAACTGGTGTATGGGGAAACCTAGTGAGGCCCAAGCTTTTCATGAATTACATCTGATTCACCTGCCAGGCTAAACATGTTTAAACTTCAGCTGGACAATTCACCATCGGTGTCACCTGATACACAAAGGCAAACAAACACCTGACCTCTGGGTCACATAGCACTTTTTACTGTTTCAACCCCATCTCCCATCTTCTGTGGTTCAAAAGAGATTGAGATGACTAATGTCTTTTTGAATATTTGTATTTCATAATCTTATGCATATTCATTCACGCCATCTATGGTGTCAAACCCCTATTGAGCCTCACTGTGTCATCTTACCGAACCTTCCTTGCCTTCGCAGAGGTTACTCAAATCACTCCACAGAGTCTGGGCCATTTTTGGAACCTCTTTGCTCTTCTGCCTCCATAGTAATTTTCTTTGCTTATGCAATTAAATAAAAAGAAATAGAAAAAGCAGGCTAAAATACTGGCTCTGCAATGTCAGCGTGAAAGGAATTGTCCATGTTTTCTAACAGAAAACAGTTTAGCAGTTACCACTCCAAAATCATCAAAAGAACTCCAGCACCTAGCATCTTCTAAGTGCGTGGTGTGGATAAATGGCTGAGTAAACAAGCGACAGTGAATTGCAAGCAGCAGGAATGTGTTTGAGAAAGTGAATTCGGGGCTGTAATCAGGCATGGTGTGGTCCTGCCAAGGTCTGTGCGGCCTGCTGCAGGGAAACAGGGTAAACCAGCTGCCTAGTTTTGAAGGAGTTAGGTTATGCGAGGGCACCAGTAGTCTCTGCTGATGACACAGTTCAAAAGTCCGGGAGGAAGGACTGTATCTAGCCCAAGAGCTGGGTTCTAGTTTCCACTCTGGCTCTAAGCCTCTCAGTTTACCTCTCTGGAGAGTGGGGATCCTGCTATTTCAACTTACTACTGTGATGACCCCAAGAAATAATGGGTATAGCTTTACATAAAACAAAAAGTGCTGGAACAAAATAATGGGGGAGGCAGCAATTCTGGCAAGGTGTGTCCCAGGTACACCCTCCAGGGAGCACTTCTTAAATTTGGATGTGCACTGAGGTCTCCTGGGGATGTTGGTAAAATGCATATCCTGATTCAGTGAGGCCTGGGATTGGTGATGCCAGCGAGCCTTCTGGGGATGCCATGCTGCAGGTCCACGGACGACACAGAAGCAAGGGGCCAGAAGGGCCAAATCTGTGTGTGGGGGGAAACTCGTGGAGGGCGGCAGAGGACTGGGAGGCTGGAAAAAAGGCCGGAGGAAGGGAAGCCGCTAGGAGAGAGTCGGAGCAGGGAGACGAGGACGCTAGGAGGAAGGCTAGGTAGGCGTCGCGCCGGCTGGAGGATGCGCAGAGCGAGGCGCGAGGCGGCGGGGACCGGCGGCTGCGCGGCCGCTCGGGCTGCGGGCGGGGGCGGGGGCGTGCTGACGGCGGCGGCAGCGGCGGCGGCGCACCCCGGCCCGGCGTCCGCGGCGGCCCTGCTGCGGCCCGAGCGGCCTGGCTGCGGGATCTGTGCGCAGCGATGGCACGACCGCCCCGGCAGTGCCCGGGGCCCTGGGTGCAGCTGCTCTTGCTGCTGCTGGCCGGGCCCGGCACCTGCGCCGCCAGCCCCGCAGACGACGGCGCGGGCCCCGGGGGCCGGGGACCCCGGGGCCGCGCGCGGGGGGACGCGGGCGCCGACGAGGCGGTGCCGCGCCACGACTCTTCCTACGGCACGTTCGCCGGGGAGTTCTACGACCTGCGCTACCTGTCCGAGGAGGGTGAGGCTGCGAGAGGGGGACGCGGGGTGGGGGCGGGGGACCGAGGCGGCCGCGGGAGCAGGGCCGGAGGGGCGGCTTGGTAAGGAGGCCAATGGAGGTAGCTCTGGGACCGCGGGACTGGGATGGGGAGCGCACTGCTCAGACCCCCGCCGGCCCGCAGGAGGCACCCGAAGAGCTGTCAGCGCCTTCCACTGAGGCCAGGAGAAGGAGGTGGTCAGCCGAGCCCTGGGAGGCTGCGGACAGGTGGGGTTGAGCCTAGGCTCCCCAGTTTTTGGCGTCTGGCCTCCACTCTCCCTGTCCGGGGTTGGGGTGGCGGGTGCTAGGGGAGGAGGCCGCCATCTGGCCTGGGGTGTGTGAGATCACGGAAGCTGGTGGGAAGCCGAAATCACAATTTAAAGTGATGTTCTTACTTTCTCCCTGTCTGTATTGACCTAAATTTACAGTGACTGGTGCCCTAACCTTTCAGCGTTCTGTTCTTGCTGATTGCCTGCCATCAGAGCTGGGGCATATTTCCGTGCCCGCTTCCATCCCAGTTCTTTTCTATTATCACACATGTTAAGAGTTCCCTACTGTGAGCCACCATTGTTGGGGGCTGCTGGGCCCAGAGACTAGGGGTTTTTCAGCTACAGACCTCCCTGTGGAGTTGCTTTAGTGAGCACAAAAGCCAAGCAGCTTCCGTTGTAGAAGGAATGGAAACTGGTTTCTTCTGCAGTTTGGAAAGCAGTGATTTTTCCTATTCTGATGCTAGAGGAATATGCAAGAATTAAACTGGGGTTGAAATGTCCCCGCAACTGATATGATGCT